ACACCAGTCACGTGACCTCGATGACGCAACAATATATACCAGTTAATTAAGAAATTTTAATTTAAAAAGGGGAATAGGGATCGTCAAAAAAGTACAGAAACAAGTTGAATCAAAACTCTAAAGAAAAAAGTAAACAAACTAGGCTGGAAACATTGTATACATTATTTTTTCAAGCTACAAATCCTTATTTTGGCTCCATGTCTACAGTACTTATCAATTTTATATATTATGTATTTATAGCCACGTAAATCAACTTTGAAAGAAAATAACCGACTTTTTAAATGGGTCATGGACCTTCCCAGCGTTTCATATAGTATATCAGTCTAGGTTTTGGTGCAAAATACCCATTCGATTTTGCTGTAGTCTAGTGAAAGAAAATTATATGAATGATAATACTAAAATACAAATTCAGCGAAGTACGAAAAACAGTAGAATAAATCATCACTTACAAGAGTAGATAAATCTACTATGGCAATCGTCTACTGTTAGAAACTCACTGAAATAGTCTCAGAAAACCACGTAGAGACAAAGTGCAACAGGGACCTAAGGAAAAGCTAAATCCTCAACGTGTCAGTTTCTAATGAATGTGCTACGAGTTGCACAAATTATTTTCCAATTAATGCGCTTTAATAAAACACCGGATTTTTTCAATGGCGGAAAGTGAAGGACTTAGAGAAATTCTTCATGGCGAAAAAATGAAGGTGCTTGAATTAATTTTAAATCTACCTTATGTCATACTGAATACTACATTCATTAATTTTGCCTAGGTTTCAGTAAAACATTCGTAGCCGTTTTTTTTCTGTAGCGGCTTCTAAAACTATAATCAATAATAATAAGGCTGAAGACACTTTTATAAATATACACATTGTTTATCCTAATAAAAGAAAGCGTTTCCGACTTGTATAAGACGGAGCATTTCAGGCTAGTATAACAATGCTTAAATGGCTTCGAAGAGTTTATGTTGGTATAGAAGAAGAACTTTGAAAATTTTAGAGGATGGAAATTTCGACTTTCAAGAATCAACTTAAAAATATCCCTACAACATTCGCAGGAGTTTGTTTAGTAGCTGTGCATAGACTTTGGCGCTCTATACCTAGTCGTTTTTGTTGTAGGCTTCGATGCTTGAAAGACTACAAAGAGAAACTTGACCAGTACCGATGAAAAAACAGATAAAATGTCTCGTTTCTTTCTCTTTTTCCATATTCAACATAAAAATAGTCCTATGATCTGTGCAGGAAGTTTAAATAAAATATTCATAGCCGTTTTTTTTTGTCTGTAGGCTTGGCAAACAAGAATATTATGAAGAACAAATGGATGAATTTTGAATTTTGTCTAACAATCGGAAAATCAACTTTTTTGCTATTATCAATATTTTAGCAGTGTCAGCTATTGAGCTAGAAGGTCTTGAGTGTTGTTTCAAGAACAAATCTGCTTGTTAAGATGGTTTTTGCCCATATGTTCTATTAGAATTTTTGTGAAATTCCTGGGTGACTCCTATTATGAACCACTATCGTGGTTCATAATAAATCCAAACGCACTTGATTGTATTAAAACACGTGAAAACTTACAACATATATTTTCTGCATTTCTTTTGGTAAAGAGAAAGATATTATAACATCTGGATTAGAATAAAAACTAGGTGTGACGTAATGGTTAGTGTATCAAGACGATCTCTATTATGAATCACTATCGTGGTTCGTGATACTGTTATAAATGAAACAATTTCATTTCAATCATTCAATACTGGCATATGGTAATTTTTTTAGGCACGTGCAACTTTATTGTCTATTTATTTCTTCGACTAGGTTTATTCTTCGATCTGATTCTGTTTTAAAACAGAAATGTATTTTGTCGACATTTAAAACAAACTATAATTATTTTACAACAACTTTTGTTCTTACAGAGGTCAGAAGCAGGCGGAACAAATAATTTATCCATGGCTGCTAGTTTCCCTGACATGCACGCGCAAGTGACCGGACAACTTGCGTCTTTATGTGAACGTGAACATGAAAATACTCTCTCTGAGATCCAAGAATTCGTGTCAATTTCACGCTCTTTACCGCCGCGCTAAGATAAAGGAATTGTCCAGGCCCTTTATTTGAGTGTACCGCTACTCTGTTCATTTGTTTTTGATTTAACAGCACAGTTTTTTTATAGCTCATTTTCTTGCTCTACCGATCTCTAATGGCTTGGTTGTCAAATAATCTTCTTGTCTGTCCACTGATTTGACATTTTGACTTTTCTCACGGAAATATTTCCTTTTTTCCGCCACAGGGCATTGTGATAACGTCCTCAGTGATAGAAAAGGATTCTTAAACTCGTGGTCAGTAATCTCCACTGTTTTGTGACATTGCCGTTGTCCACTAGATACTGGAATTACATAGAGTTGTCAGTCACGTAAGCCTAACTTCAATAATATTAAAAGATACCATCTTATCCTCTTGAACTTGAAATGCGGAATATTTTTTAATGTATACAGTATGGCTTGGGGTCAGGTGGACCAACTTGAATATAGAGCAAGATGAATCTATAGTACTTGGGTCATGTAGAGTGGTATGATTATATAATAGCACTTGGGGTCAAGTAAAATTGTTTGAATATACAATATGACTTGGGCTCAGATAGAGTGGCAAGACTATATAATAATACTTGCAACAGATAGAGTGGCATGACTATGTAATATGACCTGTGATCAGATAGAGTGGCATGACTATATAATATGACCTGGGGTCAGATACAGTGGCATGACTATATAATAATACTTGCAAAAGATAGAGTGGCATGACTATGTAATATGACCTGTGATCAGATAGAGTGGCATGACTATATCATATGACCTGGGGTCAGATAGAGTGGCATGACTCTATAATAATACTTGCGATCAGATACAGTGGCATGACTATATTATTATAATAATACTAGCGATCAGGTAGAGTGGCATGATTATATAATATGACCTGGGATCAGGTAGAGTGTCATGACTTTACAATATGACTTGGAATAAAGTAGAGGGGCATGACTATATAATATGGCTTGGGGTCGATAGAGCGGCATGAGTATATAATAACACTTGGGGTCATATAGGGGTATGACTATATAATAATACTTGGGGTTAGATAGAGTGGCATGACAATAAATTATGACCTGGGGTTATGTAGAGTGGCGTGACTATAAAATGTGGTTTGGGATTACTCAAGTTAGTTTGACTTTATGGTGAGTGAGGTATAGGGATCGAGTCATATTGTTGAAATATATAACAACGAGATAATTTAAACTGCTTATTTATGTTTTACGTTAAAACACGCATTATGAGATAAACAGTGCTTTTAGTGTCGTTTGTTCTAGAACTCGTGGATTTCGCAATTAATAAATCAATGGCGGGAAATGCCCAGGACTTTTATAATAAATCTACTTAAAGTGTAAAATATGACTTCATCCCAACCTAATTTCGAACCCTTTTCACTTCGTCCAATTACAGCAGGTGAAATTTCAAAGGGGGAGGAAAATTTCAGTTATTTTTTTTTCTGCAGTAAACAACAATGGATCCCTAAAGGAAATATTAAGAAGCACATTTACCTTTGAGAGACAACTAATCATTTCATTTTTGGGTAAAAAGGGACGTAGAAATGTCACCCGTTAAGTGTTTCTGTGAACGAGATTAAACTATGAGACGCTACACTCGATGAAAGGAGTAGACGGTACAAACTGCGTAATTTCCAAATAAATACGAATACACAGTGATCACGGTTTCATGCTACTATATAAAACAGGTTTGCGTGGTTTTAAACTACCAAGTGCTACACACGATCACCGTTGTTGTATGGTCCAGAGACTTGGACAATCAATAAAATTACAGAGAAAAGGCCGGAAGCGTTTGAAATGTGGATATTTGGAACACTCAGAAAAATATCACGGACAGACAGAAAAACAAATGAAGATATTTAAAAAACTAAACGTATAAAAAGAAATCATGGACACCATAAAGCAAAGTAAACTAGTATGATTTTGAAACAGAGAAATACATAAGATATAAAAATTTATGAAAGTGGAAGAAAAGAGAGTCGAAGGACAACAAAGAACGAAATGGGAGGATAATATCAAACAGTGGACTGGCCTTAAGATACCAGACTGCACAAACAATGCTCAAGACAGACAGTGCTGGTGGTCCATTACGGTCGACTTCCCTAACGGAGATGGTACAAAACTGAAGAATGAATATCATGATATTGAATAGATATTTGAATTCAGAACCAGAAACACCGTTTCGAAAATTATCTCTTAATTTCTTTCTCGAATCATATATAATGTCTATACTACTTGATCTGGTGAACCCTGAATTTCTTGTAGAACACGACTTGCAGATAATACGTATATTCATCCATCCGGTTTGAAAAAGTCACACGTAGTAAACTGATTAACCTGCTGGAACTGACGATACCAATGTTGTGTTTTATGGACGGTGGGAACTCTCTGTAATAGACCTATTGAAACTCACGATCCACAAGCATTCAATTCAGTAACATTCATTTAGTTATTTCCTGCGTAGCCATTATGAGCATGCGCAACAGTGCTGTCCTCTGGTGTGTGAAATATCTGCCGGTGTTTTCCTGCTGGTCGAAAACACGTAAATAATATGCACAAATACATGCGATGTGCTTGAGTATGCAAGGTCAATCATGTTGTTTTTGTTGTTTGTTACGTCAAAAATAGGGAATAATATATATTCATCTTGTATAAAAATATATAATCTTTTTCTCTGTGACTTACGTAGTCATCGATAATTTTTGTAGTTGTTTTTTTCTTTTAATGGAATTAAATAATATGGTTATTGTTTCATAACAATATATTTAAGACACGTTTTGTTACCACTAATAGAAGAAACATTTCTGAAGGTAAGTAACTGTTCAAGCTTGTGATCAAACAATTATGAAACTGGTTGTGTCAGTCAATTTTATTTACATAGGTAACCATGAAATGTAAAACTACATTATACACTCGTGATATATAAGCTCTTCATCCTAAATTGAAGAACCAACAAGAAACACGTCACCTGTTATATATATACAAAACCGTAAAGAAAATACAATTGGACAAAACTCAATTTGACGACTTTGGTTGGTTTGTGATGTGTCGACCAAGGAACGGCATACATGGCTTACTATATATAAAGAATGTATTCAACAACAGCAAACGGACGGCATAATTAAAGTGACACATCCTAGTGTATATTCGATCAACATGAACTGCATTTATTTTAATAGTTTCACTTATACATGTATTATTTTCCACAGCTTTGTGGTTATTTCCGAATCTTTCACCTTTATTTACTTAAGCTCAAGTTTAGACCTCTTTTAAATCTTACGCTATACCTGACTCTTTCACCATATTTTACTCCTTATGCTAAAGTTAAATCTTTGACCACATTTTAAATCTTGGGCTATATATGAACCTATGGTCAACTTTAACTTTCAAGCCACCTATGAATATTTGAACACCTTATTTCTTTTATCTATATTAAAATTGTTAAACACTTTTCTATGAATCTTTAAACCGGTTTCAGTCCTTGAACTATATGGCTGAATCCTCTTTTTTCAATCCTTAGATTATGACTGAAGTTTTAAGCCACTGTTATGTTAGAACTCTTCAGTTTAGAGCAAATCACCATCTAAATCATTATCATATGCGTTTTCATTGAGAAACAAAGTCTTTAAACAATTCTCAATGCATTACATTTTGCACGTTTTCTTATACCCTTAGCTATTAAATATTAAACGATAGATTATCCAAAGACTTCACCTCGAGCTCTTATACATTTCTCAGATTTTACATCTTTCAGATCTTTTGTTAACTTTTTTCATAGACCAAGATTTACTTCTTTTCAAATGCAGTATAGTTAGACAACACAAAAACAGGAACCTTTAGAAAGTGTACCCAATTCTTGGATTTAATACTGTATATTCTATATCACAGTTGTTAGACCTTTGAAGGCCATTTTTATTTTTTTAGCCTTAAAAAAAAGTAAAGCATAAACCTTGTAAGATCCCATACAGTTCATGTTCTGATGGTCATAATGTTATCCATCTAGATTGTCCTTCACTAGTAACCAAAGAACTCTAATCAAGAGAACTGGTAAAGGTTCGTTTTTTTTTAAGATTCAATTAACATTAACAAATTTATGATAACTTATTAATACTCATAGAATGGGATTTCTTTGCTGATATTCAAACACATTAGTAGACAACTATAGCAAACCCACACCTATCTCGGTTATTTTGTCCACCAATTATACCTACATTGATGGCCAAGACTGTTCTTTAGAATACGTGTAGGAGCTTGACGTCGCTATTGAGCCACGTGCTGCCTCGGAAGTATTCCGGGACGTTGCAGATAGAGAATTAACGCCACCGGGAGGAAATGGTAACCAGCTCATTGAAGAGGGATACAGCCTGAAGGGGAAAGGTTTGAGTAGCCCAGCAGCAGAGTGCTTGTAGTAGAAATCTAGATTTGAGAGACTGTCTAAAGGCGGATGAGATGAGGAAGGTGTGAGATGAGAGAACCAATATGGCGTTGTCTGTACCATTCTTTGGACAGCTGCATAATTTCCAGCTTCAGCAAGTAACTCCAACCCTACAGCCGTTTGTCTCTTCCATTTGGTTCTGGAAACACACAAAAGACAGCGTCAGTAATTTTCTTATTAAACGTAATCACTCTGGTTTCTAATCTGCTTAACCAATCTTTGCAGAGTCTTTCGTCGTTAAATCAAGACAAGTGTGAATTTCAAATTCGCATCTAAGCCCCATATGCATTTCAAAAATCTTGCCTATATGTTTTGTTTGTTTTTTACGTCACATTGAGAAACAAATTAACCTAAACCAGTTCAATGTGGGGAATATCACCTTATCTATATGAAAATTTGTTTCTTTGTTATTTTTGGCTGGGCTTTCTACAGAACATCGATCGGTGTTGAAACCTCAAAAAGTAAAACGTAAGAGTCTAATTGAACAGTTATTGCGAATTTTAATCGAATAAAAAACAAAAACAAATCCAAAACCATAAATGGGGGAATTTATTCCGGATAGAAGAATACATTTCGTCCAAAGCTGCAGGAGGAAAGTAGCCTTAGTCACCCACCGCCAACTCTTGGACTGGTCTTCATTGATCGAATAATGGAAATTGACTGTCAATATATGTCACCCGGTTGTTAAGTGGTAAATTTGAGGGCTTACAACGCTACAGTTCGGGGTTCTATCTCAGCGGGGAAGACATCACAAATAGCCCATTGTGTAGCTTATCGCTAAAACAAGCAAATCATCATTCTTATAGCGTACACGTGGCCCCAAAATGCAGAGAGCATGTTTTGGGTCAACGGACACAAACCACGAATCTTTGGTTATACGGTAAGAGTAGGCTAGTCTTTAGGGTGAAGTATACCTTAGAATTTTTACCTTATGGCTGTTCTGATTACACACTTTATACAAGTGACGTTTAGATAGAGCTCTTATTTATGCAAATTCCATTAGTTTGATGTAACGCTAAAATCCGGGGTTTGATAGCCATTGTGTATCTTTACACTAAGAAGAACAAAAACAATCATTAGGTTGAAAGGATATAGATTTTTCAGCTTGTAGCAGGTGTCGCAGATCACTGTCACGTGCTTATAAACGTCTGTACTCATGTTACCAAATGTATTCACTTACTTTCACAGATAAGTTACTGGGGTCGCATAAAGGCCAAACTTTGCGAAGTCATGTCAAATTGTAAAGCAAATAAAGTTATACATATAAATATTTTATGTGTAATTAAGAATAAAGTTGTAGGATAATCGAATCAGCCAGGTATTCAAAGTGAGGTCCGAAACGTAACTGAAACGATGCAGAGTTCCAGTCAGTCTCTACAGACAACCTCGTTAGCCTGTACTGTGTAGTCTGAAGTTGCACTCTGTATTTACAAGTTATACGTCACCCGATTCTGTTCTGCTACACTGATTTAGCTGTCGGATTTCCTGTTATACAATCGTACGGCAAAATGTGTTTTACTTCCCAGTAGGGGGCGTAACCTGTCTGATGGAATGATGTGCAGTATACTTGCAGAAATAATAACATAATGCATTGAGTTAATTACAAGCCTTCTGTTTTCGTATACACGTAACACGCCTGATTAATAATTGCATAGTACTTCTAGACACCCCCCCCCCAGTAGCACAACGGTAAGCCTGAAAACTTATAAAGCTAAAAACGGGTTTCGATACCCGTGATGGGCAAGAGCCACAAAAACAACAATAAAACACATAAAAGAATTACTAACCGTCTGTTTTGGTACCAAGTCTTGACTTGTGTATCAGTTAGGTTTAATTTTGAGGCTAGCTCCATGCGGTCCTGAACACTTAGGTACTTCTGTCGTTCGAAGCTTTTTTCTAAAGTTTGCAACTGATGATCAGTGAAAGCAGTTCTGGCCTTTCTCTGCTTTTTAGTCTTAAAGGCACAAGGTGAATCTGAGTTCCTGCTGTTGTTCTGGCCTTCCCCGCCTGATTCTAATGGGAAAAAAAAAAAAAGCCATTCACTTCAAGCAATCGTTCTATAGGTTTTGAGTCTATTGTTCGTTACAAAAATTCACGTTTGTATCACAGGTTAAACTTAATAACCTTCCCAAACCTATAATACACACACATATAGCTTATTCTTTATAGACGTGAGAATAATTGAATTGTTTATATATAAACTTTAATTCAAGGTGGTTTCACTTTAAGATGAATATGCATAAGAAACCTCTAATCCCTTTAACCAAACTTTTCTATATTCATCACTCCTCCTTACTAACCGGTTTCGTAGCATCACAGGCTACTCTGCAGTATAAAAATAAAACAACAACAGGGAACAGGTAAACACGTTTTGAAAAGTAATAAATTTAAGTTTAACATTTATATAAAATATGCAGTTTTTCATTATAAGTTTTAATGTTAAAATATTTCAATTCTGATGTTCATTTAAAGATTCTTTTTAATTAAATTTTGAATTTAAGGGCTAGTAATAAGATAATGTATTTTGTAAACAGATTTGTTTTTAAATTTAAAGAAACATAAACTTAAAAGATTTAAATTGAAAAGCAGCATTTGATTATTTTACAAAAATTTTAAACTTAAATTTATTGCTTTCCAAAACAAGTGTTTAGTTGTTATTTATATAAGTTCACGCTGCCGTTTCAAAGTATTTGTTAAACAGTTCGCCCACTGCGGACTTACAGCACTAGAAACCGAGTTTCGATACCCCTGGTGGGCAGAGCACAGATAGCCCATTATGTAGCTTTATGCTTAACTACAAACAAAACAACACAAAACAAAAATTAAACAGTTCACGTAACTATTACTCACCGTTAAAAACTAATTAATAACCTGGTGCCGAACAACAACTTACAGACTACAAAACGCAGTGCACCTACATAACCTTCAAATTACCGACTGGTTTTCACACCGTTCACTACCGGTTGGTGTCCACGTATTGCATCATATTGAGTAATGTTACGTTTCTGCCAGATACAGCGTTCAGCGCAAAGAACTGATGAAAAACAGTCTAATGAAATCATTAATTTTCTATGTGAAATAAGCAGTGATTAATGGGATTCGTAGCTATACTGGTGGGATTTTTTCTTGTTGTTGTTGTTTAAATTTGATCTGTGACTCGTATACGTTGTTATATAGGGACCTTGTAACAACGGACCCGCATGCAAATTGATGCATAAATAATTTAAAGCTCATGCCCAATTCTGGGTATAATTCTGTGGCTTCTTTACTTTCGCCTGAAATCTACAATCTTTTAGCCAACATGATACACACGTTAAAACTCTCTATTGTTTTGCCGTCTTATAAATTATCGAAAAACTATCAGTTAAGTCTAACACTGGATAATCGCTAGGTCCGCAATAAAAACTACTGTCATTGTCTCTTTTGTTATTACTTAACGATCAGTGTGAATAAATTCACGCTGCTGATTAGTATGTGTGAAATATTGTCATTGCTTATTTTATAACTACTTAACGATTAGCCTGAATAATCACGCTGCTGGTTGATATCCGTGAAAAAAATACTGTCGTTGTTTCTTTCACTTTTACTTAACGCTTAATGTGAATAAAATCGCGATGCTGATTGATATGTGTGAAATACTGTTATTATTTCTGTCATTACTACTTAACGCTTAGTGTGAATAAAATCGCGCTACTGATTGGTATGTGTGAAATATTGTCATTGCTTCTTTCATTACTACTAAACGATTAGCGTGAATAAATTCGCGCTGCTAATTGGTGCGAATATAACATAATTAACGAGTGTCAGTCACATAAGATCTAGCTGAAGGACATCATGAGTACAATGTAGCATGTTTGAGTTCCATTACACATTTGACAACAAGTTAGCTAACCAAAGAGTATAAGACACATCCATCTCCACAACGACTATGAGCTTTATTCTCGCAACGACCTCTGTATGTTAAGAGTTAATCTCGTCATGACACTTAGTACATTTCTCTATCTTTTTTTGCAAGATTTTAAGATATTTGGATCATATTTATCTATTGAAAATGGTTTAATACACGTTTCTGAAGCCTGAAGATTCTAGATCATCTGCACAACAGCACCTTACACCAGTTTCTTGTCAACGCTGGACAGCAGCACGTTACGTCATTTCCTTGTCAACGCATTTAGAGATAAACGACTCAAACCTTCCTTAGGTGGTAAGTGAAATGATCCCCCCATCTCCACTCCTAACCCGAAGAACAACTGACGTTTTATAAAAGGTCAGTCTGCGAACCTCAAACACAAAACAAGGACATCGTCGCCAGAAGCTTTCTCATGGCTCACGGAATGACCTCCCGGTGACCCCGTGACTTCCCGGCAAATTACAGTGTGTTACGAGTATGAAATGCAATTATTGAAGAGGAAGTCTTCAATTAGGCCTGATGGTGTCTTCCAGTACTCAGGCCTGATGGTGTCTTCCACTACTCTCTGCTACTTGTGTTAGCTGACAATGCGAACAGGACACTTTAACCTGGCTCAAAGTTTTCACTGTAATTAATATCAAATTTGAAGGAGTATATATCTTTATAGTAATTGCTTATAATGAGTGTGTTTTTTTTACAGTGGCTAATAGCTTTTTAAGAACTATATCCATATAAATGTTCGTGTGTGTTTATATATATATATATATACATAGTCAAAACTTTACATAGAAATTCTGATCTAGCGCACACAGCATATCTGTGCTAAGTTACAAGCTTGCGATATTTTAATATGTTCTCTATACTCGTGTTTTGCTCTTAACGTATTTTGAAGTGGATATCTCAAACATAATGTTCATAATAACGAATAGTCATAAAATTACCATACCGTCATTCTTCAATCATTTAGTTTCGTCCAATCACTTAGGCATCGTCGTTCAACACCTTGCGGACAACTCAGCAACTTCATAAACACGTTTATACGTCATGTTAATAAATAGTTTAACATAAGTACTCATGATTAAAACCTTAAAATACACATGACACACGTTCAAGTAAATGTTGAACCTATACGTATATATATAGTGTTTGTTTTTAAAACGGCTTAGAATTATTAAAATAACTTTTAATTTTTTAACGAATTTATATGAAAACGCAACTATAGTCAAAACCTGCCACTATAAACTAAGTTATCAGAATCAAACATTATGAGCAACTCCTGACTTTCAGATTTCAGATTCAAGTTCGTCCACGGGTACAACACATTGTACGTGTCTGTAAACTACGGATAACGCATGACTAACAGTCCTCCAAATTTATAGAAGCATTATTAACCCTTATATTGTCCAACGGTTTAGATATCGTTCACTTTTGCATTATATTCGTTAGTTTTACAGCACTTGCTGGCAAACAAACAAAAAACGTGGGATTGCAATATTGGTTGCATGTTTGTTGAACAGCTTACAGTGTGACTCGTATGTTACTGGGAGCCCTGTAAACAAAAGAGTCATGGACCAGCAAGCAGTTTGGAACATAGATACTTTCGAAAGACGTGTTTAAAAACCAGATGGAGTCCATATAGGTAGATCTATTAGGGTTAACTCACTTTGAAATATGTCTAATTGCCGAATATTTTGCGTTTAAAAAACAGTACAGCCTGATTAAAACAAAAACAAAAAAACGGAACATAACCTATACATTTAACATTATACTCAAGATTATTTAGTTCAACATGTATATTAAATACGCCGTTACAACATATTTGTTTAACAACACCATTGACAAACGCAAAAACACTTCAACCTATAATAAACAAAGTAGTCAGCACGTAAAAATAATAATGGCGTCAACACGATTACATAACAGACCCTTTCTCAAAAATCGCAAGTAAGCTATTACCAACAACTTTTCAGTAATAGCCTGTTTAATCAAACGATATCTAACCTACAGTCACATCGGCTTAATTGTATTAAATAAAGACTTTATCATAGGCAGATGTTTTGTGAACGATTTATAATAGCCGATTCAAGTTGCTCTCTCTCTTTTTTTTTCTTCTAGTGTTAACAGTTGCCATTGCAGATAGCTTGTTCACGTTCGGACGACCAGCAAACATGATAATGGTTCGATAGTGACTATTATCTTTTAATGAAGTGTCGACGATCTGGGTAACCATGGAGATTCATTCACCGCGAGTTCCTCCCTCCCAAAATCTCACAGGTAATCTGCCTTACGCTGACCTTCTCGTTTTTACTGACTCGAGGAAGAGAAGAAAACGAGAT